ACACACATATAAACTYTGACACCAAAGTCACCTGGGAATGTTGGATTATAAGGGGGTTGTGCCAGTGGTCTACTTCTTTATTTGAAGTGTTAATAAAACACAGAAGGTTTCTCAAGTCGCAGGAGACCTAGTTGTTCCTGCTGCTGTTGATGGAAGAAAGTGGAGGAATTGTGCCCTGTGCCTCTGACAGAGGCCACTGTCTGAGTCATTCTGACCTTGGGGAGGAGCAGAGAGCACTTCCTTCAAGCCAGGCACTTAGCTAAGTGCTCCACAAGACTTATTGCACTTGATCTTTAGCAGACCCGTGGGGTCTGCTAGCTGCACTTTACAGATGGGGTAATGGGGCTCAGAAATGTTGCAGACTCACCCAATGACCCAGCAAAGAGTCCACAGCAGGAGTCAAGCCTGACTTTGTCTTTCAGGCCTTAATTCTTTGTGTCTCAGACTATGCCATTGATACCAGTGATGAGAATCAGGACCGAGTACCAATTCCCCAGCATGAAGATCGAACACCCGAGGAACACTGAGGCAAGTTTTATTTAAAGGCTAGAACCGAGATCGATTTCTCCCAAGGGAGAAGGGGATCCAGAGCTGGTTTCCAAAGAATTGGGGGCGTCCTGCCCCTTTTATAGGTTTTAGATTTCCTTTGTTCTCAGGCTCTCTCTTTCCCTATCCTGCCTACGTGATGAGTGACCATAAGGTRGAATGATCCAAGGGCTGGAATAAGGCTGCCCARGAGTACTGGTATAAAGGGGGCAGCTCCAGAGGCATTCATTAACAGACCCCTGCAAGGAGGGACAAGTCCCTGGTGGCAGGTAACCTTGACAACAGGTTGCAGGAGGGGGAAGGGCTCTGGGGGTATTAACATTTTATTTCCTCTTGAATCAGTCCCCATCTTTCTGACCCAATCATTCATTCCCTACACTGACTGTCCTTTTGCCCCCTCCTGCCCCGTTACATCCTCCAAGAGCTGTGGGTACTGGCAGGGTCTGAGAACAGGATACCTTGACCTTGCTTTCCAGAAAGCTAGCCACCCTTGCTTTGATCAGAGAGGACAAGAGATGGTGACCATGTTGAATCCAGGTGACTATAAGGTCAGCCCACCTGCAGAGACTGGGAGTTTTTTTGCCCACCAGAGCCCTATGAGGAGCCAGGTCAGTGAGGGCCACCTGCCTTGTCCTTTCATGGGCCTGGACTTTCAAATGACAACGATGCTGTTTAAAGTTCTAGGACCTTGCAGAATGTGCTGAGATTTTCTGACCTCAGTTTCCCAGCCTATGAAGTGGGGCGATTCAAGTGATATTKGGCGCTCAGATCTGTCCCCTGAAACCTGCTGGTAATTTCTCTGGCCCAAATTCCTACCCACCGGGGAGACACAGAAGCATGCTCGGTGTAAGAATTCCGCTGCCAGTGAAAAGACTCCGTATAGAAAGGCCCCAGGAATCCCACTCATCCTGCCAGTAGTGCGCAGCCCTTGGGAAAGGGAGGCTGGGAGGGGTGAGTACTGGGGTCGCGCTGTTAGCAAGGCCCGGAGCCAGGAGCGTGGGCGGCAGGACTTTCCTATGGACACCAGGGGGCGCTCTGCACCAGGTAGACCTAGCCTTGCCTCGGCTGCTGGCCCAGCCCGGCCCTTACCGGCAGAGGTTAGCTTTGCCAGGGAACATTTCCTGAGCCGCCCAGGCTGCTGCAACCTCTTAACAGGCCAAAGACTGTCATCAACGCATCATCCCCAGAGGCACCGAGGAGCCAGGGAACCTGGTTCCTGCTTGATGATGTTCAGTTTGGGCTGCACCCCCCTGTTCCTGTCGGCTCCTTCATCACATGGTGGCCTGGGGCAGGGCCAAATCCCCAGCTCTGTGGGATGAGAAGAGGGCGCCAGGAGACCAAGAGCTCCCTCCAGGCAAGGAAGGATCCCAGACAGGTTCCAAGCAGAGGCGGAGACGCCTGGCTTCCCAGTTCCAGGTGAGCAGACCCCGGTCCAGCCGCTTTCCTGGACACCTGGTCATCCCTGCTGTCAGGACCCGGATGCTGTGGGGACCGCGGTGAGGAGTGTATTACCCTCTTCTCTCACATGCATGCAGCAGAGAGCCCTACAGGGGATGAATGAGGAACCAAAGGGAACACACTTGGCCAGGCCAGCCTGGGACATCAGGGCTGTGTGCATGTCCGTTCTTGAAAGATGGGATTTCAATTCCCCCGCCTCAACAATGTTAAACTGTGCCTTGGGGTTCCCCACAATTCCATTGTAATACCCACTTTAGGGAGCTGTCAGTCCCAAGGTTAATGTATTTAGTAGTCAGTCAATGCGTAGTAAGTGCTAGCTCTCATTAGTACTGCGGTGGGTGGGGTGATACAGGGTACAGGAGTACTGGCCTGAGTTCAGGAGGACCAGGCATCTCCACTGCCTGCCCCTGCAGTGATCCTGTTTGCTGTGTGGCCAGTGCCAGCGTGGCTCTTCTCGGCTGAGTCATCTCAAGATGTCCCTCCAGCTCAGCCTCCAGTGACTGCCCTTCCTAGTGAGGCTCAGCAGGCTGGGARCTGGGTGCTGGGCTTAACTGTGGTGCAAACTACTCTTGAACCTGCTGCAGAACGAGTGGGGGAAGGCTGGAGTGGGCAATGGGAGCACAGTTCTTTTGTCCCCCTCTGCCTCTGAGGTCACCAAGCCTGCTGTGGACTGTATTTTTAAAGCCCTTCTCCTCTCCCCTTGGTCACAGCTTCCCGGCACCTATTCTGACCTATTCTGGCATCCCTCTCTTTTCTAATGCCAGCCCAAGAGCCTGATGGGAAGTCAGCCCCACTCAGCTCCAAGGATGAGGCCAGGTTGGCTTTGGCCAATCAACACATCTCACTGGTTTGCATTGGTTCAGGGATGGGTCAGTTTGTAGCCCAAACCAAAGAAATCAGGGAAAAGGAGACATTTGGAAGAGAAGGGAGGGGCAGCTTCCCAGCATGTCTGAGAGAGATACTAAAAAATAGGCTTTTTTTTTCCTGCTGAATAGGACAGAAGAAATAGCTCCTGAAGCAGGTTCCGGCATTTCTTAAAAATAAGGGGACTTTGTTTGAAAATGAAGCAGACACTCCAAAAACGAACAGGAGAACTGCAAAGAAACCCAGAAACCCAGATATTGTTGATATTGTCAAACTGCTAGATCCAGCCACGCCTGAAGCTCAAATTATTAGGCGTTTCCTGCTAAAGGAGTCAATAAATCCCTCTTATTACTGAAATCAATTTTAACCAGCTTTTTTGTTTACCACAACTGAAAGATTCTTTCCTGATAGTAATACTATCCGCTTTTGACTCAGAAAGCATAAAGGTCACCAGATAAAACTCAAGGCACCTAGTTAAATCTGAGTAGTGTTTCAGATCAATGGTGAGTATCTTTTTAGCTGCTATTTCTTCTAGTCTGTCCAGCACAGGAAGAAAAGAGCCTACCTTTCAGTATGTTCCTCAGAAGAGCCAAGAAGCTGCCTCTCCCTATTATTTCAAATATCTCCTCTTTCCTCATGGACTTGGTTTGGGCTACTAACCAACACATACCTGAACCAATTATAGTCCATGCACTGTTTAAAATATATGCTTATACTACAGAACAACTGGGCATCCTGTATTTTTATTTGCTTAATCTGGCTCAAATTCACACAATTCGAAAAGGAAAAAAAAAAAAAAACTGACGTTGGAGCTAGAGTTTTAATTTTAAAACTCCTACTACACCAGGTCATGGGGTGGGCTTCTTMTCACTCCCTGGTCTTCCCTACTGTCCTCCCAGCCCCAAGTGCTTAGAGCATATAGAGATATGTCCCTCTGGGTTCATTAGGATCCCCAAGGTCCGCCCCAGCTCTGGCATTCTCAGGCTAATGCTCCCTTCCTCTGGTTTCTGCCTCTCTTCCTTGGGACTCCTTTCTCAGCTTGCACTCGGACCTGTGCAAGCCAAACCACTGCTCTCTTGGGCCCGAGGATACGCTGGCATCTCAGGTTTGGGGCCCTGTAGATCTAGCACMTGACCACTGGCTCCTTCTGCTCTCAGCTGCCCCACATCAGTCCCCAGAGGCACAGGCTGGCCCCTTTCTCTGTTCTGTCCCAATGTTTCCCTGGAGAATGCTGACTGCAGGAGCTGCCCTGAGATCCCCAAGGCATGGCCCAGAGGACTCGGCCCAGCAGCCAGCAGCCCCAGGCTTTACCCTTCCCAGGAGTGGCAAAAGACAAATCTCTGCTTCCCCCCAGCCTAGGGCTGGAAACTTCCAGCACCCTGAGGACTGGCTAGGCTTGTGTGGTCTTTAATAAAAGCGATGGGTTTTATAATCACAGATGTGATATAAGCTCAGCGAGCAGAGGCAGCAGCCCAGAGACAGGTGGGTGACAGGAAGAATGTTCTGGTGGGAGTCCTCCCTGGAATTGCTCTTCTATCCATAGAAACATGCCTGAATATATTTAAAAGGGCAACATTGTACCCACCGCCTTAAAGCCTGCTCTGCCTCAGGTGGCCAGAACCACTGTGTTAGTGATGTTGATGGCTGCCTGGATCTCATCTGTCTACTTGATAATCGAGACTTTTCTTTCCAGTTGTCCGCAATAGTAATTTATGGTATAAGGACATTAGATTTGCAGAATGGAATGGAGAAGATGCACATTTACCAGCGGATGTGCTGGGGTGAGGGTCTGACCCTGGCTCTCTCTTCCTGGGCTTTGTCCCTGAATCTGAGCATGGGTACCAGTCCTTGCTCTCCCCTAGAACAGGACAAATGCCTGCCCCAGTGGAAGGTCGTACATGTAAACTRAAATCACATGCAAAACTGCAATGTTGTTGATGAACTCATTTTCAAGGCTCTCTGGAAACACAGCTCCCCTTAAATCCAGGTCAGCTCATTGAAAACAAATCAAATGTACCAGCTGATGTGCACTGAGGACTTTGCGGTTTACAAAGCCCCTATTTCCTCCTTGGACATCAGTTCACTCTGAGAGGTGTTTGTCATTCTAGGTCCCATTTTACAGAGCGGAGGAACTGATACCCAGAGGCTCGGTAACTTCTCCAAGACTGCTCTGAGAACCCAGGGTATATGTTCTTCTAAGGGACTAATTCCTAACAGCGAACGTCTTGTTTGAAATCCAAGACAACACCAGATAAAGGGCATTCTAAATATATTTCTTTTCTATAGATGAAGATCTGTTACTGGAAAACAGGAATTAGCTTGTCTGCCTGAGGATGTGGTTGGCGCTTTATAAAAAGGATATAGAAGAAATTTGCACAGATTGCCAGCTTCGTTATGCTGCCGACAGCTTCCAGCAAAAGAAGAACCTTCGCAGCCAGATATTTCAGTAAGAATTTTATTATCCTCTGTGGGGAGGGATGGTTACCTTTGCTCTTGACTTCTTCCTTGGGGGATGGGCTCACTGGGGCCCCCAAAGGTGCCATGTTGGTCTTGTGGGCTGAGAAGACAACATAGCATTGGTGGGCAGGGTCCTGCCCTCTTTCAGCTCAGGGCACCAGCTGCTGGCCCAGGATTTGCCCCTGAACCAGGGCAGCTGCTCTGTATGTGCCTGAAAACAGAGGCTTCAACACAACTCTGATTGTCGGGGGTGTTGGGCTCCGCTGGCTCCGGACTCTGATGACATTCAGTACCTGTAAGGACTACATGGTGCAGCCGGATCCCTGCTTGAGAACCATGCAGGCTGGTGGTTAACTAGTTTAGAAAGGGTGAGGATGGCTTAGTAGCCCCCAGTACAGCACCTGATGAGGCAGGACTGCTGTCTGGTCACAGGAGGTGGTGGCTTGGTGTCACACAGATGCTGGGTCATGCAGATCTTCTTCCGGTCAGTTGTGCAGGTGCTGGCTGGGTCACAGGCAGGAAAGAGCGGGTTGGGGAGGTCTTGCATGAGGTGATGGGCCTGAGCACCCTTGGGACGATGAAGAGTGAAACTCCAGATGCTGGCAGAAGAAAGGCCGTCAGTGGTCCCCACCCTGGCTCCACTCGAGAGTCAGTGGAAGAGCTTCTAAAAATCTTCCGGCTCCTCCTCTGGAGATTCACGTTGAATGGCTCTTAGGTGGATCCCAGACATCGGCATATTTTTTAAGTCCCCGATGGATGTGATGTGTAGCCAGGGTCAGGAAGCAGCAGATGGAGCCCAGGGAGGGCTCCGACTCCACACAGCCTCCTTTGCTGTGGTTGGAGTGGATATTTATGGGGCTAGGGAAGAAGGCTCTCTATCACAGAGATGAGAACGAGGTGGGCTGGAGGCCAGGAGCCTGGTCTGACTCTGGGCTGGACTTGAGCCGAGAACCTGTCTCCCATTAACATCCCTGGATCTTACTTTCCACGGGTGAAATTAGGGGCTGGGGGAGAAGGTGAGATCAGCTTCTTGCAGTGCAGATAGCAATCCTTTGAGAAAGGAATAAAGGGGATATTGCATGAGATACATGAATTTAATGCATTGGATTGAATTAGTGTTTGTACTGAAGTGAAATTCTCATAACATAAAATTAACCATTGACAGAGTGTAAAATTCAGTAGCAATTCATATATTCACCTTGTGCAACTGTTACTCCACCAAGATTGCAAAACATTTCATGCCTCAGGTTCCTTACCCCAGCCCCCAGTAGCCACCAGTCTGTCTTCTGTCTGTCCGTGTGGATTTACCTATTTTGGATGTCTTATAAACAGTCACACACCTCCTTTTACCTCTGGCTTTTCTCACCTACCACAATGTTCCCAAGATTCATCCATGTAGTTGCATGTATCAATATTTCATTCCTTTGACTGGATTAAATTTTAAAGGATTGTCTGACCTCAAACACTTTGGCAGCTTTGTAAAACGGGCCGTGCCATTTCATGGGAGCACAGGAGGAGGTGGCTTCTCYTCCCGGTTGTTGGTTGCCTGATTGTCTAGGCCTCTTCTCTCTCCCAGCTGTGGGTAATTCTTGAGGAAGTTGACTTTGTTTTCAACGGACATTTCCAGAAACTCGGGGCAAATGGGAAGTTCTTAAGGGTTGAGTGGTGCTGTTGTACCTTACATTTTGCCCACAGTTTCACCAAGTCAAGCATCTGCCAGAACTTCCCCTCTAACAGGAAGCCAGAAGCCAGACTTGGTGATCCCTGTGCTAAACCCTCACCCAGCAACAGGCACTGCCCTGGGCCCCATCCCTGGGAGGCCCTTGGCTTCCCTGTGGAATTGCTCTGCCAGGTCACACCCACTGCAGCCTCTTTTTCTCACCAGCTTTGCCAATTTCTGCTCCCTGGTCTGTCTGGTCCACTCCCAGGACTGGTGGCTTCTTCCTGTAGCGGCCGCTGCCAGACATCCTTTACCCCTCCCACAAGGAGCCAGAGGGGAGTGTAGAATGGGGTGCTCCACAGCGTCCTCCCCCTGCCTCTGTGCCTTTGCTGCCCTCAGCTTTTCCCTAGAGGATACTCTCTCCCCACCCTTCCACAGACGGCAGTGATATAAGGAGGCAGGGAGGCTGGACTGTGCCCTGGAGGAACAGGAGGATTGGAGAGAAGGGAACTGAAGTGGAGAATAAAAGAGGGACGGTAGGTGGGTGTCATATTAAGAAACTTGGGCCTTTCTCATGGGCAATGGGGAGCTATTGAAGGTTCTAAGAATAGGACTGAGCTGAATAACATGCCACTATATAGATGTACATTATTATCCACACATAAGCTGATGGGCTTTTGAGTTGTTTTTAGTTGGAGTTATATTGAATGATGCTGCTATGGACATTTATATGTGTGTGTGTGTGTGTGTGTGTGTGTGTGTGTGTGTGTGTTGTATTTCTGTGAATAAATGTTTTAATTTCTCTTCTTGGATTATATGGTAAGTTTGTTTAATTTGTTTAATTTTTAAGAAACTGTCAAAATATTTTCCAAAGTCTGTATTTTCTATTCCCATCAGCATTATATGAAGATCCAATTTCTCCACATCATTGCCAACACTTACTATTATCTTTTTTTATTGTAGCCATCCTACTAGATGTAAAGTGATATGTTACTGGGAATTTGATTTGTATTGGTATACCAATTAATGATGTTGAACATCTTTTTCTGTGTTTATTAGTCATTTATATATCTTCCTTGGTAAATGCCTATTTTATTTTTTGTCCATTATTTCATTATATATTAATATGGTCGATTCCCAATTCCTATCATCATTTTCATATGGCTTATCTTTTTTTCAGTTATTTTGCTCTCAGTTTGTGTATTGTAGAAACTCTGGATTATGATTTTTCCACATGAGTAATGTTGCATTATTTATTTGGTAACTTACCTGGGCTGAATTTGTGAAATGTACCTCCCTCATAGCATGCAGCCACAGTGTCTCTGTTTTATTTGCTTTTTATTCTTGTTTTTGCTTTTAAACTTGGCTTTCTAAGGTCACCCCTGTCTCTGTGCAATTTAGTAGCCACCAGTGAAGGACAGATATTTTGTTCAAACCTGGAGGCAATGAGGCTCCCATTCTCTGACAGTGTGTGGACAGAGAAATTATCTCAACATTCAGATTGGTGTCAGGTTGGCTCCATTCTTTCTTTCTACTCTGCAAATATCCACAGACTTAAGAGTTGGCAAGAATCGGTGAGCACTCCAGGCCCCCTCTGGTTTCCACATGCACTCAGACCAAGCAGGACTACACCTGCCCCAACCACAATGGCAACCAGACTAACGCAGCACTGGTCCTCCCCATCTGCCCACTGCCAAGATGGTCAGTGATACGGACGATGGCGTTGAGTATGGGCATTGCCCATCACTCATAGCTAAATGGGCCATTCCAAATGGCAGCCGATTCCCTTGATGTGCCCCACCGGGGCAGAATCCTTGGGAAGACTGAACAGGGAGGGTAGTGAGGTGGGAGTAGCCCCAAGCAAGACTTGTACTGGCTTTACCCAAGTTTAGCAGTTTTTCAAGCAGAAGCATGTTTCTGTCTCACACATTAGGTCAATTTTCAGCATACAAAAATGGTTGTGTTTGTCAGGTTGTTTAAATTTTTTTTTAAATACACGACAGCAGAATGTGTTATAATTCTTATTACACATATAGAGCACAATTTTTCATATCTTTGTATATAGAGTATGTTCACACCAATTCATGTCTTTATATATGTACTTGTTTTTTTTGCACTACAATTCTTATTACACATATAAACCACAATTTTTCATATCTCTGTTTGTATAGAAAGTATGTTGACACTCAATTTGTGTCTTCATACWTGAACTTTGGATAATGATGTCCATCACATTCCACTGCCCTTGCTAATCCCCTGCCTCCTCCCTTTCCCTCCCTCCCCTTTTCCCTATCTAGAATTCATCTATTCCTCCCATGTTCCCCTTCCCTACCTCACTATGAGTCAGACTCCTTATATCAGAGAAAACATTCAGCATTTGTTTTTTGGGGATTCGCTAACTTCACTTAGCATTATCTTCTCCAACACCATCCATTTACCTGCAAATGCCATGATTTTATTCTCTTTTATTRCTGAGTAAAAATTCCATTGTGTATATATGACATATATTTTTTTATCCATTCATCCACTGAAGGGCATCTAGGTTGGCTCCACAGTTTAGCTATTGTGAATTGTGCTGCTATAAACATTGATGTGGCTGTATCCCTGTAGTATGCTGTTTTTAAGTCCTTTGGGTATGGACCAAGGAGAGGGATAGCTGGGTCAGATGGTGGTTCCATTCCTAGATGCTTTCCATAATGGCTGCACCAATTTGCAGTCCCACCAGCAGTGTATGAGTGTACATTTTCCCCACATCCTCTCCAACACTTATTGTTTGTCTTCATAATAGCTGCCCTTCTGACTGGAGTGAGATGATATCTTAGAGTGGTTTTGATTCACATTTCTCTGAGTGCTAGAGATGATGAGCACTTTTTAATATAATTGTTGATTGATTGTATATCCTCTTCTGAGAAGTGTCTGTTCAAGTCCTTAGCCCATTTGTTGATTGGGTTATTTGTTTTTTTCAGTGCTTAGCTTTTTGAGTTCTTTATATACCCTAGAGATTAGTGCTCTTTCTGATCTATGAGGGGTAAAGATTTGCTCCCAGGATGTAGGCTTTCTGTTCAACTCACAGATTATTTCTTTTGCTGAGAAAAAAACTTTTTAGTTTGAGTCCATCCCATTTATTGATTCTTGGTTTTAATTCTTGAACTATAGGAGTCTTATTAAGGAAGTTGGGGCCTAATCCCACATGATGATGATTAGGGCCTACATTTTCTTCTATTAGATGCAGAGTCTCTGGTTTAATTCTTAGGTCCTTGATCCATTTTGAGTTGRGTTTTGTGCATGGTGAGAGACAGAGGTTTAATTTCATTTTGTTGCATATGGAT